TAGTTCTACACCAACACAAAGACATTGGAATAGTGCTAAACATATTTTTCGTTACCTAAAGAACACTATTGATTTGAGATTATTTTATTCTCAAAAGTTGAGATCTGCTTTAATGGGATATGCAGATGCATGTTATCTCTATGACCGACATAAAGCTAAATCACAAACAAGATACTGTTTACACGTAGAGGAACGGCTATATCATGGAGATCTGTAAAGTAATGATCGATGACAACATCTTCAAATCATTCTGAAATTATGGCAATCTATGAAGCAGACCGAGAATGTGTATGGTTGAGGAATATGACCAATCGTATCCAAGTATCATGCAGATTAATTTCAATAAAAGATAGTCCAACAATTTTCCATGAAGATAATGTTGTTTGTATTGCACAACTCAAAGGAAGTTATATTAAGGTGACGGACGAATCATATTTCTCCAAAATTCTTTCATACACATGACCTTCAGAAGAATGCGACATCGAAGTTCAAAAAATTTGTTCGAGTGACAATGTCACTGATTTATTTACAAAAGCACTGTCAACATCTACATTCAAGAAATTGGTTCACAAGATTGGAATGCGTCGACTCGAAGATTTTCAGTGATCAACATCAAGGTGGGTAGCTGTACTCTTTTTCCTTCGCTAAAGTTTTATCCCACTGGGTTTTCCTAGTAAGGTTTTAATGAGGCAACATTTATCTTTAATACTAAAAAAGAACTGTATTTTTTTCCTTTGTTTTGATTTTTGTTGTCCCAATAGGTCTTTATCAAATAATTTTTTAACGAGACATATATTTTGTAATGTGTCATTGAAAGGAGGTGTTGTAAATAGTAAGTTATTGGTGAATAACAATTGTACCATTGCAACCCTAAATATTATTACCATATGTATCATTATTCCTTCATTACATACAAGTCTATTGATTTCTCTCTTATTATCTCTTTTTACAACAATATCAATAATTAATTGGAGAATAATGTTATTTATTATTATGATAATGAAATATTGGTAATGTGACAGTCTATGTTGAATAATAGGATTGGGCAATTCGATTTTCATGAAAGACAGTGAAGGAGAGAGAAATATGAGGGATAATGTGTTGTCAAATCACCTAATCGATATTCCATCAATAAATAGCATCACTCCAAATTGGGTGGACAACAAAAATTGGACAACATATATCAATTCGTGTTTGATTGGCTTTACTTTCGATGAAAAATAATATTTTTCAATCAAATTCCTACTTTTGGAGTGCTAGATGACATTTTTCTATGGAAAATGTTTTCCAAAAGTTAGTTACATAATAATATTTTTCGCCAAAAAAAAAAAAAAAATTTATTATCTTCGTGGGAAGCGAGTTTTTATTTTCTACACAATTCACACTTCCTAAAAACTCAATTTTGTGCAAAACTACAATATTTTCTACGTTGAAAATTAAGCAAATTAAACTCATTTAATTGATGATTTTTATGCAAATAAATTCTAGACAATTAAATTGCCTAAAACTTACTTTTCCTCCATGTAAATTTCATTATTTCAATCAAACACACATTAAGTTATTATGATTTCTTTCTTCCGTTTCATATATATGTACACCACCATGTATACAATAATGTACAAATAACAAAAATCGCTTTGAACATTGATACATATATAGTAAAATATATTCAACACAGCTATTTATTTATAATAAAAATCATGATTCTTAATTTTGAAAGAATTCTAAAAATATTTCAAAAATAAAGAGTGCACAAATCCAACAACACTCGTTGCCCCTATTTGAGCTCCATTATACTCTCTCCATCCCATTTATATAGATTGACTTTATTTTTTTTATCCAAAATATATAGTTTTATTTCTTTACTGAGAATGTTTTATTTTGTTCATTTATTAATAAAACCTTATTTAGTTCACGGTTGGTCTGGATTAAAATTTAATTTTAATTCAAGTTAAAGTCAAACAATCAATATTAACCACATTTTTCATGAGTTCCACAACTTTTCAGCCCCATATTTAAAAAACTTCTGTCACAATCTACTAAAAATATAATTTTAGGGCATGTTTGGGTCGGATTAAAATTTGATTTTAATCTAAGTCAAAGTTCAACAATCAATATTAACAACATCTTTCATGGGTCCCACATCTTTTTACCCACACATTTCAAAAACTTCTATCACAATCCACTAAAAATCTAATTTTAATCCCCACCAAACACCCTCTTAGTTTGCCTAGTTATAACAATTTTTCTCCAATATACTACTAGTTGTTCATTATAAATTAAGGATAAACTTTGAAAGTTTTTTTAGCAAAAATTGATTTTTCAATAACATTATAAGATTACTTAATCCGTGTAAAAACAAAATCAACCTATATAAATAGGACCGTGGAGTAAATGGTTTTTGAGGAAAAAATATATTTTATAATAGTAATTTTTTGAAGAATGAATTATTAAAAAGAAGAAAACGTTTTGAATTTATATATAATATTATTTTATTGAAAAATGTGTGGTTAAAAATAAAAATGAGATAAATACATTTTGAAACTAACATATTACAAAAAATTGTGAAACAAAGTATGAAATTATAAAAAAAAAATTATATAGAGATGAGAAAATGTTTTAATTCAAGTTATAGTCAAACAATCTTATGGCCCGTTTGATTGCAAGGGTGGAAAATAGGTGGAAAGAAAATGTTTTTACAGAGAATTGATTTTTTTAGAAAATATTTTACTGGGAATTGTAATTAATTGCGTTTGATTGATATAATTTTTCATGAAAAATGTTAAAAATTTGGTATCCATTTGGCTTTGTTTTTTATGAAATTTGTCCATTAAAATGATAATTTTTTCTACTATTGAGTCTAAATTTGTTCTCATTGTCAAAAAAAAATTTTGAAAAAAAAAAATTTACCATACCGATTATCATTCGTTTGACTTTATTTTGTATGAAAGTTGT